AAAAAGGAAAGAAGAAAAAAAGGCGAGGGCCCGGCCCCATGGGAGGCCCTTTGGCTTTCGCCTTCCGCCCGAGGCGCCAGCTGCAGAATGGCCTTCTGCCCGTTGCAGGCCTCCGCCCAGGGCGGGATGCGGCCCTGCGACAGCAGCTCCGCGCCCCGCGAGCGCGACGGCTCCGGGGGCAGCGGCTGCGCCATGGGGTCGGGGGCTGGGGAGGGCGGAAGGAGCCCGGAAGGAGCCCGGGTTGAAGGCTGGAGCGCTCTCCTTCTTTTTCTTTGCTTCTTTTCTTCTTTTTTTTGTTGGGGGGGGGGGGGCGGAAACCAAAATCCATACCTTTCAGCTGGGGGGGAAGGCACCGGCAAAGACGGATGGAAAAGAATGAAACAGTGAAACTCGCCAGAGAGGGCTGCGGGCGATGGTACAGCCATCTTTCTTCGCAGGATGTTTGCATAGCTCTTGCCTCCCGGCTTTCTGCAGGCAACGCCAGTTTGAGCAGAAAGCGCGCAGCCACGCGGGCACCGGATGTCTTCACCTGCGTGGCTGTGACCCCATGAGCGCCCCTCACATTGTGTGAGTCTCTTTGCTGCAGATTCACATAGGAATGTCCATTGACTTTCCGAGTTCTTTTCGGTGCTGCAAGAACAAGAACTTCAAAACTTCAAGACTCATTGAACTTGGGGAACGCCCAACAGAATGTCAGACACCCCGGTCGCCGTGCCTGTCTCAGGTGGCCCAGGGCCAAAGACGTCTCCGCCAGGCGGTTCAGACACACCAGCCTGAAGGCTCGGAACCGGGGAACGGACACCGCGCCGCGCTCGGAGTTTTGCTTTTCCTCCGCCGAAGGCGTTGATTTCCCACAACACGTTCTCAGGTGTATACTGTTGCGAGACACGTTCTGAGGTCACACTGGTATGACTTCTGAGGTCACTGGACTTCAGCTCTCAAGTTCCACTCTATCGAAGTCACAGATTTCGAGGAAGTGCCGTGGGACCTTCTGGGGGGCCGTGTAACAAAATATCCCAATGGAAAAAATCAGGAGTCGCAGGTCGCACACACAGAGTGCACCCGGATGGGCGAGCTTGCTAGTGCTTCTAGCGCATTGACGGTGTGGCTGCAAGCAACCCCTCGCTACAGCACTCTCCTTTCCACTGGCCCTGACCATGATCAAAGTCACCCCCCAAGTGGTAGCTAAAAGGGGCACACACACACACACAACTTTCTGGCTTTCACAACCCGACAACCCCCAGAAGCAGTCAAAAAAATGACCCGAGTTCCATGGAGGTGAAGGCCTGGGTTTGTATTGTAAGCAACCTTATTTGGAAGAAACCAAGGCGGTCTCGCACAGGTTCGTATGCCCCTGAGCTGAATTGCAGCAAAAAGGACACCCCTCGTTTTGTCAAACCTGGCCCTTCATTGGCGATTCGGATTTGTGGGTTAACATGCGGAAACCCTTGAAGAAAGCACCCACAGGGCACTGTATCGGTGGTGTGTGAAGGGTAACCCCATAGACATGCCCTGGAAATGCAAGACCATCCCATTAACGATGGTGACGCCTGCATATCCGGTGAAAGACGATTCGTCCCCTAAGGGAGTCCACCAGCACTTGTTGCTGGTCAGCAGATAAGCAACCTGTGGTTGGTTCCCGCTTTCCACAAACAGGAGCTAAACAAGTAGCCAGTGATGCCAATGGTAATGTCCATTCGCTTCTCCAAGAAACGCCCCCAAGAAGCTGGGAATCCTCGACAACCGGGGATACTCCACAGACCCTGGCGCAACCGTTCACTTTTTGCGGGCTAAACGGAAAACACGGTTTCCCTTTAAGCCAACCCCAAACATCCCAAGAAAACAGACACACTCATGGGCGCTTTCAAGTGGCCAGCTGCTTCAAAGCCGCCCCAAAGCCCTTCCAGCCAGGGCACGTGTCCGGGTGCAGAGGGCCCAGCTTCTTTTCCTCGGTCGCCATGCATTGTCATGGCTGGGTCCACGAAAAGCGGACTCTTGACCACCGTGCTGGACCTGCTCGAGCCCCCAGAAACGATCAAAGCACAAGGTGTCAGCCAGCCGAACTAGTAGATTTCGTTTTATGGCCTTGTCTAAATCTTCAAAGCCCAAACAGGAAAAGCGAACAGGGTCCGTCTTCTTAAAGGGGCACCTTTTTTGCAGGTTTTAAAGGGCAACCCTGGCCACCAAATCCCCCGGAAAAAACGGGCCCACCCCACTGTGGACTCCGGGGCCCGGGCCCGCCACTCCAGCACCTCCTGGAGCAAGGGCTCGGCCTCCTCGTGCTTGCCCAGGGCTGTGTGGATGGAGGCCAGGCCCATTTTGCTCTCCACCTCGGCTTGCCAGGCGGCGTGGGGGTGGAGGGGGGCTTGGTGCAGAAAATCCCGCCCCCTAAGCGTCCCGGACCCATTTTCAAGAGAAGTCACAATTGGTGATCCCCATGCAAGGCGTTCTTGTCCATGTTTGTTCGAAGGTGGGGAAGGCTCTTTTCAAAAAAAACCAAACGCGCCAAAGCACACGCCAACCGAGCGAGCGCACTGCCAGGGTTCCTAGCACACGTCCAAAAACGGCAAAACTCCTGCTTCACAAGGCAGCCTACCCGTGCGCGGCTGCGCCGGCGTGTTAGACCGCCGCAATCCCTAGTGCTGAAAGGTTTGCCGCGCTGTTCACGCTGAGAGGGGAGTGGCGCAGCGCGATTTGTGTCGCTTTCCGTGCTGCGACGTGCTGCTTGCTGCACTGTGCAAGCGTGTGTTTTTGTTTCAATTCGCGCTTTGCGGAAATCTTTAGGAAACTTGCGGTTGCCGAAGTTTCGGAATTCGCGTGTTCCAGTTGATTTCCGCCGGGCGGTACCTTTTGAGAATAAAGAAAAGCTAGGACGAAGAACTTGAAAGCTCGTTTTTTTGTCAAAGCGGCGCCTTGAGCCTCCACTTGCTATTGGGCGAAGGATTCGCAAGCTCGTTGCTGCGAGTCTCTCTGGGGGCATGGGAGAATTGGTGTCCCCTGTGTTTGCGGACCCCCTCATGTCACCTCTCAATTGCTGGAAAAAAATCGACCGCTAAACACCCGGCGTCGGACACGGGGCATCTGACCGGATCCACCAGTGCCCGGGACCCGCGCCGTGTCTGGGTGGCTGTCGCCGAGGCGTCCCTGCGGTGAACTTTTGCTTTTGGGTTAGTGATCTGGCTGGGTCTCAAGATAGGGGGCCCTCCAAATTGGCGGCTTTCCTTTTGCGCTCCTACCCTGGATAAACCCACCCCAAAAAGGGTACCCTCGAAAAAGGACACCCATTTGAAGATACCCGTGATTTTCTGATAGGAGGAGCAGGGGCACCATCTACCTTGTAGTGCCAATGAGGGTCTGGGGTTGACCTGCCAAAAGTCACAATCTCTGCCAACGACATGGGCCCACACCTGAAAAGCTTTCGAGTTCAGGGAGCGTGCAGTGTCGAGTCACCAAGTCACTTGTTGGCACCCCAAAACTGGCTGGTGTCCCTTTTGGCTTCCCTTTAAAACCAACCAAAGAAGGGTTCCAAAAAAAGACAAATCCATACTTGGGTGTTGGCTAAATTTAAACCACCAGGACTTGCACCGCAGGTTCTAGAAAGTCCTTTCCCTTTACCAGGGCAACCCATTTTGGGGAGTTCCCCGATTTTTGACCAGCCATTTTGCCGACCTCCGTCTTTAACCCGAGAAAAATCCCCGAGTCGAGTCCGCCTTGAAGCCATCCAGAGCCTTGTTCTGCACCGGCTCCGCCTCCTGCACCGGCGAAAAAAAAAAGAAGTTTGGGGTCCGAAATGGGCTCCGGCTTCCCTTTACCACTGTACTCTTCCCAATGTTAACCCCTTTGAATTAAGCCCAGTTTGTGAATAAGGGGCAAACCCCCTCCAAAAGTGATGGATCCCCACTTAACCCAGGCACACCCCCTGTTTTTCTCACAAACTGGGGGTTCATTCATCTGCGATCAACATCATATTCCAGCCACATTTCCCCAGCTTCAGGGCCCCCAGTCGCCCCCCACCGCACTTCTCTCCCCCCCCCTCCATCCCCCCGCAGCATCCCCCCGCAACATCCCCCCCGGCGCACCCCGCCTGGGCGCGGCCCAGCTGCTCCATCACGGAGGCCAGGGCCGCCACGTTGCACAAGGTGTCCGGGTGCTGGGCCCCCAGCTTCTGGTTCATGCCTCGACCCCCAACCCCCAGACCACAGACCCACCACACCCACCACGAGGGGTAAAAAAGAGGGGCCCCGGAAAAAGGCCGCCGGAGGTGGAAATCCGGGAAAGCTCCGAGCTCAGTAGTTTTCGAAATTGGCTTCCGAAGCCAAGGCCTTCAGGCTTCCCCCAGAGACCTCAATAAGGTGGTGAGGTTCGTTGACCCTGTGGCTTTGCCTTGTGGCACAGCCAAACTCACCTGCTGAGTTGACTGCCCAGAACGAGTTGAAAGAATTTCGGGCCCAGACTAATATGATGAGGAAAGCCTGGAGTTGTGGAATGTTTGAGAACCTGAACTGGTTTTCAGGGACGTGCGCGGTGGACACCACAAACTTTGTGGGTCTTGCGTGGCCACCTTCTTCGGATTGAAGAATATGCATGGACAGGCGGATTTCCCCTGGAACACCAACCACCAAAGGGAACCTTCCCTGGGATTGGCCGAAAAACCAAAAGATCGCGTTCGAAAGGCGAGGGGGGGGGGTTCGAGTTTCTCTCATGTATCTCGCCCTCATGGACACCAACTGAGCAAGTCCCACAAGCCTGATGACGAAAACCACAAGGAAAATCTGCGGAAACCATCCGGGGTGTCCTGTCACTCCGTAGCGTTGTCGATGCCGAACCAAAAAGGGGGTTGTCCCCAAAGGGAGGTTCCTCAAAGTCCGGATGCTTGCTTTTGGCCCATGATGCATAAGAAGTCCCTTGACTAAAGATTGTGGCAGCACAAAGCAAACCTTCCATTTGCTGAAGGCCCTGGAAAAAAAAAATTATTTCCAGTGGTAATAGATTCCCTTTAAAACCATCGGGGGCGAATAAAAATATTCTTAGCCAAATGGAAGAAGCCCTTTTTTGAGCCCGGCCTTTCACCACCCGCTGCAGGTACTGCTCGGATTCCTGGGCGTAGCCCCGAGTCTTGAGTACCTGCGCCAGCTTGCTGAGGCAGTACCTCGGCTTTCGGCTGCTTCGTTTCTGCCTCACCGTGCCCCATGCGGGTCGCAGCATCACAAAGGCATTGCTTCCCACAGCTTCTCCCATAAGTGCCCCGAACTCAGCATCGCCTTCTGTTTCCCCTTGATCCCCTTGGCCTCCCATAGTTCCCCAGAAAGGTCTTCCCTTGTCACTGTCCACCTCGGCATCCCATACCTCCCAAAACGTGGGCCTCTGGGGAGAAAAAATCGAACCGCAAAACTCGCCTGTGCCGCTTCAAGGTGATCTAAACCTTCGAGAACCCCAACGGTTACGCACGGCGAGTCCTCAGACCTAAGGCCATCGTCAGATCCGAAGCCTTGGGGCCCCGGCAGGGTGTCCAAGTTCTTTGGGCCCAGCTCCGCCTCCAAGCCCTGGGCCGCGTGCCGGTAGAGCTTCCTCGGCCCAGGGCTTCCGAGGACCATAGGGGGGCATGGAGTTGGGTGGGTGGGAAAACCGCGGGCTGGGTTCGATGCGGGCGCCATGCGGACAGGACATTGGAGGATGTGACTTGAATGAACAGTTGGCCCAAACTAAAATGGCCCCGTCCTTCACCAGAAGACCAACCAAATATATGTTTTGTGTAACCCCAGCATTTGCAGCATGTGGGCACTTGATCTGCGGGATATTCAAGGGCTAAGTACAAAAAGAGCACCAGCAGGGGGGAACCTCAGGATGAAGCCGAAAAAAAACAACATGCGAACACAAAGCAGTGCTCTAGAACATGGGAATCCCGCTCTTGACACGTATCCGCCAGACAGCGCTTCCTTGCCCTCGGTGAAGCGAGGCATCACCCGGTCACCCGAACATTCCGCCCGCTTCTTAATTGCTCAGAGAAACTTCAAAGCGTCCAGTGCGAGCTCCCCGATTTAAGACACGCATTTCGATTTACGAGGCTGCCTCGCCAATTTCAGAACAACCACCTCGGCGAGGTGAACAGGAAACGAGGACAACAAATTCGAGCCAAACGGAACCCAACGGATCCCACCCTCTCTCAGTCGGAGTCGCTCCGCTTCGCTGGTGTTTCCCATGGCCGCCAGCAGCGCCGCCTCGAGTCTCCGAGTCTCCGAGTCTCGAGGCGAAACGGATCGGGCGGATCGGGAGTTCCGCACTGAGAGGAAAATGTTGAGTTGCCTTGGCCCACATCTAGGGTGCACAGAAAACGCTGTGTTCAGATTCTGTTTCATATGAAGTCAAACAGCTCCAATTGGCATACCCAACGAATAGGTACAATTGGCACACTTAAAGATTCCCAGGAAACGCTGACGAAAATTGGAGGGCTTCCTTTTGCCAGGTGAGCCCGCCATAATCAGCCCATGCTTGATTGATCAACTGGGTTCAGGCAACGCCTCGCGCTTTGGCAGACTTGGCGCCCAACCTTCAAACACTTGGGCTGTGTGT